AGTGGAATGGTAACTAGAAAGGAGCGAGGTTCAAAGGAGACGTTAGTACACACACCGGTTGTATGCTGATGATCCCACCGGAGCGGAGAAAATGATGGTGCAGGGGAGGGAGGGAGACGCAGGGGCAATGAGCTGGGAAATTCAGAGGAGCTGGGGTCCGATCCTGCCTGGAGAGGCTGCCCCAGCTAGGAGCACAGACTCTTCTTGCACCGTGATAGGTGAGAAGACCTAGACTATAGTAGATGCGGCTGCCACTTAACAGATACTTACACCTATTTGTGTGGGGCAATGGCAGTGCAGCAGAGAGGCAGAAATCCTTGTCTTCATGGAACTTTTATTCTAGTGGGGATTGGAGGAAGGGGCAAATAATAACCAAATGAGTAGAACATGCCCTGTGCCAGATGATGGAAGGCGCTGTCAAGAAAAGGAAAGCAGGGCAGTGGGGGGGAACCTGTGGGAAGCTGGGCAGGTAGTAGGGGGTGGAGGTGGATTGCAGTTCTCATGAACTGAGCACTTGATGTAATTTCTGTGAATTTACTTCTTGACTCTCAGACACATTTATTTTTCAAAGTCAGATTAAATATGGCCTAGTACCGCATGGGAGGGCTGGTGGGAAACCTCCCAGCCTCGTTTTCGCTTCACAGGTGCCTCCTTCTTTGGGCAGCCCAAGACTTGCCCAGCCCTGTGTCTCTCCTTTGTAGTCCTCATCATAGGTGTTAATCATACACTTATGTATGTGATTATTTGATTAATATATTTCTTCCCTGCTAGACTGGAAGCTCCAGGAGGGGAACTATGTCTGTTTTGAACAGTTGTATTCCCTGAACTTAGCACAGTGTTGGCACATAATAGGCCCTATTTATTGGATGGATGGGTGGATGGATGGATGGATGGATGAAAGAAAAGTTATAAAGACTATTTTCCATAAGCTACATTTTTAAGAATCTTGTTGTTTTATTATCCTGTGGTCACTTTTAAGTTTTCACTTCTCACTTGGTGCAGCTGATCTGGTAAATGGCCATTTTTGAAGCAGGTAAGGTATGTTTTTATACCAGTGGAGTATGTGAAATGGTGTGAAGCACAGTTGCCCTCTAATTTAAATAATGTCTCTCTACCTAATTTTTTTTACAGGACCAATGCCAAAGGCGGCACTCCCCTGAATATAAATAAGGTCTCTAATAGCCTGATTAATTTTGGAAGGAAGTTGATTTCTCCAGCAACAGCCCCAGGCAGTGCCGGTGGCCCTGTATCTGGAGGCAGTGGTGGCAGTTCCTCCACTGCTGTGGTTCCCACCAGGACCTTAGCAGAGGTGCCCAGGCATCATTTGCAGCAGCAGCAGCAGCAGCAGCAACAGCAGCAGCAGCAGCAGCAGCAGCAGCAGAGGCTGATGAAATCAGAAAGCATGCCAGTGCAACTGAACAAAGGTAAGGAAAAGTACGAATACATCTAAAGAAAACACTTGCAGTACAGTCTGGGGGATCTCCTCGCATGCCTGTGAGAAACCGGCTTCTAGAAACAGAAATTAATGCAAAACTTAATTTTAAATGAATCCATTGTATTAGATCCTTTTAAGTGAGATGATCAGATACTGCATTGTTCTTAATTATGAACATTTTATGAGCTAATTTGTTAAGGTATTTTTTGACATTTATATGATAGTATACTTGCACCTGAGTCCTGTGGAGGCCCCCAGAGTATGGCACGAACTGTCACAACGCAGAATTTGAAATCAGTTGACTGTGGTCTCTGCTCACCTGGGCGATAATGCTTCCGACCGGAAGAGAATCTGAAATGGGCAGCTGCAGACACCATGGCTGTACCAGTCAAGGCACTGCCCCATGAGGTTGGCTTGGAGGAAGCATGCCACGGGGCTCACAGCCACTCACCCAGTTTTACCTCTGAATGTCAGGCAGAATGTCAGGCAGCCAAAGTAAGTGTCTGAGTCCGTGCACTAGAAGGTGAACGTAGAACGTGGGAGCAGAGGACGCCCGGGAGGCGACCCGATCCCAATCTCGGTCCCTGAGCGAGGGCGCTGCTCTTGGTGCTGCTCTCTATCGGTGGCCCTCCTGCTGCTGGGACTCAGTAAGCTCGTTTCTGTTTCCAGACCTCTCCAGGGCTTCACCTCCCACCTGTATTTTATTCTTAAGAGAGCCCTTCGGACTCTTACTCAGAATCTTTATACTTTCTACTTATTTTCAGAGACATATATATTAAAGTCCCCCTAATCAAAGCAGGTTAAATGAGCTACATCTATTTTTTAGTGATGGGCTCTGCTATCTATACTGTAGAAGAAAGAAATAATAACATAATAGCAGAAAATCTACAAAAACCATTCCTAAGACCTCACAGAGCATCAGGTCTGCAGCCAGTTTGCTTCAAGGCAGATGTACTGACACATGCCTCGTTCACATCTGGAGGGCTCCCTGTGGAACAGCCACGCAGTAACCGGCGTCGACAGGAACAATAGTAATAGCCAGTCAGTGTGAAGCCCTTGAACCATCTTCCATATACTCTGTTTAAGACATCTGCATCCAAAATTATGAAAAATTTTAAAATACTAGCAATGAAATTAGTAAATTTAAGTTAAATAGGCTTTATTCCCCAATGATATGAAACAATGAGTATTATTCAATGAGTATGTATGTTCTTCCATTAATTACATCATGTTATCTGTTATAGCCTATATGAAGTATTAGACGTTATATATTAGTATTTCAATTTCTATTAGAGTGTTCAGTTTACCTACATAAAACTATCTTGTTTAAAATTATATCCTTTTTTAAATGTAAAGCTATCACGCATGATTTAAAGAAAAGGAGACTGCAAACCATTAACATGTTGTAAACGGATTTTAATGCCAGGAGACATGCCCACTTACAGAATGGAAATGAATGTTATTTTATATATTTCTTAATTGTACTGTTTTATTGTTCTAAACAAATATGATTTCAGTATTGCTTTGATAACAAGCTGTAGTCGGTAGTAATTCTAACTGATGGCAGGCAAATGAGTCAGAGAATCTCTTAATGCTGTAGCTTAAATTTTCTGAGGAACCAAGCCAAATGACTATAGAAATATAAAGTTGTGTCTCTAAGGAAATGTCAAGTATTAATATCACAGTAAGTGAGAAAGGAAGTGCGTGAGGATGGAACAATTGATGAAAACTAAGTCCCCAGTTATAAGAAGACAACAGAGCACTTAAGCAGAGTATTTGGAACATGAGTAGCATCACTGGGGCATTTTATAACCGATCCCCGTGCTGGAAGAAAGTGGCCTCAGTTGGCATCTCTTCTATCTTTTCACTTCTGATTTGTTCTTCTCATGTCAATCTACAAAAAGCTTGTCTGCCTTCATATTGGAGATAAATAGTCCTGCTGATGCCCCTCCCCGCATAAAGGCTTGGAGAAACCAGAGGAAAAGGCAAGGCGAGCAGTGTATACAAGCAGAAGCTAGTGCAGGTTTATGCTCTTCATTCACTCACCGGTAACCTGTAGGCAGAACCCTGGAGCTCCCTGACCCTTTGTTTCCAACCCTGAAGTAAGAGTTTTTGACGGATCCCTGGGGTGTCTTCCAGCTCCAAAAATCTGTGGTTCCTTTGGTGAAAGATTGTTAATCCTGCGATGAAAAACACTTCTCCAACATGGGTTCTTTAAGCTGGTATGTCCCGCAGGTGTCCTGCCGTGCTGTGGCTCCCGCCAGTCCACAGGTGTGACCCAGATTTGGCAGGTAGGGTGGGCACAGTCATTGGCCTGTCAGGAGGCTGGTGCTGGAATATGACTTCTATCTCAGAATGGCCCCATCTACGCAGTGCCGTTGAGGAAAGATAATGTAACAGCCTTTTTAGTGTCCTCTGCTGGAAAATTTGAAAGTTGTTTTGAAAAATGGTTGTTTATGAAGATGAAAATGCTTATGGCTTTCCTAGGTTGGTTAACTCTCAATCATTTGTACTCATACAGGGGAGCAGTTGTACCGAAAACAAAAAATTCATGTATATGTTGTTTGAAATGCATTCTGTCATTCGTGCGTGTCGGGAAGGGTCGTGAAGGAAGGAAAGGGGAACACAGATGTTCCTCCATAATTTTCCTGGTGATATTTAATATTAAAATTAGTTTTCAGTCACTAAATATACACTAATAGATGATCCAGCAGCAGCAGAATAAAATGGGTTGCAAGCATAAAATCGAAATCTCCTTCAAATATACAGAAAATAAGCACGCCGTTTACCAGTGAATAGAGAGTTAACTGTACTGTGAAAATTCAGGACCTGATAACTTCTGCTCAAAGCTGTTTATCACTTGTTTGGAATATGTACCTATTTATAGATTTTATTGCAGTTATAGGAGAATATAAATGTGTGTACTGTTAATTGATAGGGGTGATATAATTACAACCCAATAATTTCCAGATGAGCTGGCCACGCTGTAAATCATAATTGTAGCAAGTGGTCAAGGCACTGAGGCTATGGTGTTGAATTCAAAAATGGATTTTTTACTATTGTATAAAAACTACAGGGGAAGCAAGTCTATTAATCACACATTATCATACATAGAAAATATGGTGCCTTTTAAGAAGGCTTGTTTTTTTTTACCTTGTTAATCTCAAAATAACATAGGCCTTCAGATGCTGTTGACAGTGGCTGTTTAATGTTGAACTTTGCCACCCAGGGAGGAAATCAAATAAGCCAAACGTCTTCCTTCTAAATGGCAGTCTACCTCAGTTCTTCATGAAATATCCCATGGGGCTCCTTTTCCTTTCTTTCCTGTGTTCTTAAAATGCACTCCTTGCCTGGCCGGCGTGGCTCAGCGGTTGAGCATCGACCTAGGATCCAGGAGATCGTGGTTCAATTCCCGGTCAGGGCACATGCCCGGGTTGCGGGTTCTATCCCTGGTGGGGGGCGTGCAGGAGGCAGCCGATCAATGACTCTCTCATCACTGATGTTTCTCTCTCTCCCTCTCCTTTCCTCTCTCTGAAATCAATAAAATAATTTTTTTTTTAATTGCACTCCTTTTCCTCCATTTCCTTTGTTTTTCGAATCTGAACACTTCTTTATTTTAAGCATTTACTGCAGGTCCAATTTGTAAGTGAAATCGCGCCTATAATAAGTATATCAAGTTTAAAGGGTATGCCGTTCACAGATTTATTTTTACATGTTGACATTTATAAGTGCATGTGGGAACTTTTGAAATCTTTTCAATACTTAATATGAAATTAGAACTTATTTAAGTCTTGATTTGATCACTGAAGAAATTGATTTCAAGTTTAGTTAAAAATAAATTTTGTCTGTTATAGAGGGAAATCAATTTCAAAAGAATGCTTACCTAATAAATGCATTTAACTTTTTGGATAAAGAATTTTTTAAAGAAAATATAAAATCACACTAATATTTGTAGCACAATGAAGTTTATTCAGCAAAATCTTTTGATTGCTAGAGTTTCCTATACTTTCAACTGGTAGAAACTTGTTTTATACTTTAGACTCATAGAAACTTGTTGTTTTTTCTTTAAGAAAAATAAGCACAAATGCTTTTTAGGAAACACTTAAAAAATAGTTCCTTTTAAAAATATTTTATATTTATTTTCATAAGATTGCACTGTATTTTCTCTTTTATTTTACTTTTAGTAATTCGATTGATAAATGTATTACATTAAGTATGAGAGAAGTTGATGATTTTTCCTTTTTATGAAACCTAATTATTTTTTCTTATGAAATCCAGGTGATGTAGTTACAGGAAGCAGTGCTCAGGTTTCTGTTCCTGCCCAGACCCTAACTGACCTCCAAGGTACAGTTACCACGGCAGTTTGCCTGCAGTGTCGTCCTTGCCTGTTCCAAAACCCCGGTGTTCTTTCTGCCCACCCTCCGTTCGTGCCGTTGATCAGTTCACTACCATTGTCCAGCCACTGAGTGGCACTGTTGTTTAGAACAAAAGTCTCCTCTCCCGTCACACCTTGGTGATGCCAAGTCTACTTGTGATGTCGGTTTTCTGTTAAGTTTGCACCAGACTCTTTCCTTGCAAAACATGGTCACTCTGTATTTTCTGGTGATTTTAACACTTTTTTATTGAGCAGCTTACACCAAGGTGTCTTTTTTGTTGCATAGGCGCTTTGTGACAGTGACTGAAAAATTAATTCTCAGATTAGACGATCTATGTGCTGTTTGTATGCATATAATTGTATTAGCCAGAGTACTTGCTATATTTTATCTAAAAGAATTGATTTTGAAATAAGTTTTTAAGTACAGGCTTTGTATTATTGGTCATATTAACAGAAAGTTTGGTGTGACAAATCTCTACACATAACTGGCAATTATTTAATATTAAAAGGCAGTACCCAGCCAGCCTGGCTCAGTGGTTGAGCATCGACCTATGAACCAGGAGGTCGAGGTTCAATTCCTGGCAGGCACGTGCCCAGGTTTGGGGCTCGATCTGCAGCAGGGGGCGTGCAGGACGCAGCCAGTCAATGACTCTCACCATTGATGTTTCTGTCTCTTTCTCCCTCTCCCTTCCTCTCTCTTAAATCAATAAAGACATGTTTAAAATATATATATAATTAAAAGATAACGTTTTAATGTCATAATTGATTTTTCAAAATCTAGGAAAAGGTTTATTTAAGAAATACAAAATAATAGAAATCCATATTCAGCACCTCCTATGGAATTTTAAAACATAAATATTTAAAGTTGCTGCATTAATCTTTTATTAAGTACTCTTTTAGATAAAATATGCTAGAGAGAGGAGTTCTGTATTAAGTGGAAGTCTAGACTAAGAATCTTCCATTCAAATTCAAACAGAAAAGATAACAGCATTAATTAAAATTCATATCATGTTTTCCTTCATTTAAAATATCCACATAATTTAGCCATGCTAGTAGTATTAAAATACTGTTCTAATAATGATATGTCTTCATAATACCTGTGTCTTTTGATAAATTAACAGAAAAGAATATATTGTGTTTAGGAAATGAGCAGTGTGTGGCTTAAGATCTTAAAAAACAAAACTGTTGCTATAGAGGGATGTGACCTCACTCCTATATATAGTTCTGTGTTCCCAGGTATAGTTTCTGGCTGCGTTCTGGTAATTGAACCATCTGACCTTTGAGGGTTTTTAGCCTGGGATTCCGTGAGGAGCCGCTGTTTACTCTTCCTGGTGTCTGCTACATGCTATAAAGGGATGCGGTAACATGGAGCTAGAAAAGGCACACAGCCTCCAAATGATTGCTCTTTAGCCTTGTCAGCTATTGCACTGAAGTAAATATTGATGTGATTATCCGATATGATAATTCAGAGGACTTAAATCTGTTTCCTAAAATTAAAATCTGAGCTCCCCTCCCCCCCCAACAACTGTTTAACAAGTGTTTTTTTATCCCGAAGTTAGTTTGGCTGTGGAAAGAAGCCGAAGGCTGCCTTGCTCATTCCGACTTCTGCTTCTGTGCCGTTATTGCTCAATCCATGTTGCCCTGCAGACCAGAGCTGCCTCAGCCATGTTGCCTTTTTAACAGAATCTTGAAGGAGGAAGATTGTATCATTGTATTCAAACGACCAATGTTATATAATTAGAATGATTTCATTCATTTACTCAACAAGTATTTATGGAGTGCCTCCTATGTGCCAGCCACTGTAGTCCTTGGTCCCTTGCTTTCCTTACAGCTTTACCAGGTTGCGTGGGCATCAGCCTGTTTTAATGATCCAGGCAAGCCTACACAGGCAGGAACCAGCTCTTTTTCTGAAGACCCTGTTCAGAAACCCCCTGCCTCCCGCACTCTGTCAGAGAGTCTGTCAGTCTGCTAGGGAGGGAAGGCTCCAGGGTGCTAGGGAAGGCTCCAGGGTGTTAGGGAAGACTCCAGTCTGCTAGGGAAGGCTCCAGGGTGCTAGGGAAGGCTCCAGGGTGCTATAGAAGGCTTCAGGGTGCTAGGGAGGGCTCCAGTCTGCTAGGGAAGGCTCCAAGGTGCTAGGGAAGGCTCCAGGGTGCTAGGGAATAGGGAAGGCTCTAGGGTGCTAGGGAGGACTCCAGTCTGCTAGGGAAGGCTCCTGGGTGCTAGGGAGGGCTCCCATCTGCTAGGGAAGGTTCCAGGGTGCTAGGGAATAGGGAAGGCTCTAGGGTGCTAGGGAGGACTCCAGTCTGCTAGGGAAGGCTCCAGGGTGCTAGGGAAGGCTCCAGGGTGCTAGAGAGGGCTCCAGGGTACTAGGGAGGGCTCCAGTCTGCTAGGGAAGGCTCCAAGGTGCTAGGGAAGGCTCCAGGGTGCTAGGGAATAGGGAAGGCTCTAGGGTGCTAGGGAGGACTCCAGTCTGCTAGGGAAGGCTCCTGGGTGCTAGGGAGGACTCCAGTCTGCTAGGGAAGGCTCCAGGGTGCTAGGGAATAGGGAAGGCTCTAGGGTGCTAGGGAGGACTCCAGTCTGCTAGGGAAGGCTCCAGGGTGCTAGGGAAGGCTCCAGGGTGCTAGAGAGGGCTCCAGGGTGCTAGGGAGGGCTCCAGGGTGCTAGGGAAGGCTCTAGAGTGCTAGGGAGCACTCCAGCCACTTTATAAGACATGAGGTCCAAATAAACAGCTTTCAGTCTGTGATGAGATGATGCAACAGTGAGACGCTCCCCGCCCCGGCTGAAGAAGCCACTTTGCGTTTTCCTCGGCACGCTTCCTGCAGAGGGTCAGGAGGCAAAGGCAAGGAGAAGTAAACCAAAATAGTTAGTGGCGGCAACAAAAGCCTTTCTAACAACCCATGCTTAACAGGATTACTAACCTTAGAAGCTAGAGAACTTCATCGGTGTGCCAGACCCACTCTGCTCCCCTGTGTGATATTTCCAGAGCAGATCCGCTTTTGCCTCGTGGAGCTGAAACTGTCACTCGGGCTTCCCAAGGTCTGTCCTCGGGAGACCGAGGGTACTCGCCCTGATTCTTTGGTTATGTGTAGTCTGTTTCAGTGGCATCCTTGTCTTTTTAACACACAATTATTATATGGGTTTTAACTTTTTGAAGAAAAAGTAAGATTTCACAATTTAGGTCGGTAAATAATTTTTGGAAAATTTGGAAAGGTCACTTTACATCTCGCAGTATAGGTTGCAATCCTGTAAAATGTGCAACAGGAGAATTTGCTTTTTGAAGACAACTCCCAGCAGCCGAGGAATAGGTGCCTTGGTCTGCAGGGGGCCCCGGCAGGGCACCCACCGCAGCAGTACACTCAAGAAAGTGCCTCGAAGAATAAGCTTTGGTTTGAGTGCAACAAAAGAAATGATTCGTGTTGTTCCTATCAGTTAAAAATGTAAAAAGGTTTCTAGGGCTTCAGACCACTGCGTAGTTTATGGGCTGCAGCTCGCTGAGAATCTCGACTCCTCGGCTCAGAAGTATGCAGGGGAGGCCCTGGGATCGGCGGTCTTGTCCATTCACGAAAAGGGCAGGGAAGTCCGAGCGGCCTTTCCTCTCGCTCAAGGCAACACTACTTCTGGTGCCGGGGCTTTTCCCACAGATCTCCAGAGGAGGTGTCCCAGAGGGCACAAAAATGTTAGTAAGCTCATTTCTGTAATTGAGGGGAAATATATTTTGTGCAGGGTTTTTATGTGAGATCTAGGCCAAGAACTTTATTGTGGCCCCACTGCACCCACTGTGCTGACCATCCCCAGCGGCTGAGGCTGGTAATGCACAGCCTGATACAGCTCCTGTACTTGAATACAAGAGGCCTGGCCATCAGCTTTCTGTTTGCAGAAAACACCATCTCAAGATACCTTTACACATCCTAAAGCTGTATATGTCCTAAAAATTGGGTACATGGGGCTCTTCTCCAAACACGGTTTGTTTGGGGTTTGGTTTTTGTTTGTTTGTTTGTATATTTCTTTGCTGTTTTGAATTAATAGCTCCCTGGAGTCACTCTCTATGATACAGAAATGGAATATGTGTTGGCACAGTCTTTAACTTTGGGCAAATCTTATGTTGTTGCTAGCTATACATGTAACTATGTCCTTGGGCAAGTTTACTAAACTCTCCAAGCCTAAGTTTTCTTATACATAACTACCTCACAACGCCATTAAGATAAAAGGAGATCATGTGTGTAAAGGTCCATATATGTCCATGGACTAACATTTTGCAATAACACATTGCTGAAGTGTATTTTAATTTTCTGATCTCTTCTTTGGGTAGACAGGCTATGGAAGTATGTGTATCAGGGAGGTTGGTAAAAAAATGAATAGTACACAGCTATCGTACAGATAAAGTCTAGAATCAAAGACAAAGTTTCATGGTCTTATTATAATTTCATGATGGAATACTTGCTTTTTATAAGGATTTTTTTCTTTGATAATGTTATAAATCCTTTTAAATGGTGAGTTTTCCCAATAAGTTTGGTAGAACTTTACTTATATATTATAAATATCAGATAGGTAGATATAATAGGTACTTCCTTATTTCAGAAGTATTCAAGGCAACTAAGATTCTATAAGGTGTGACATATGTAACTGCTCACAACTATTTTTTTCATTTTGGAAGAAATGGAAAAAAGTTGTATTCGTACACAAAATTCTTTTTCCAGGAGTATAATAAAATGAACATGATTCCACCTGGCATTTTAGATTAACTTGGAATTTGAACTGTAATGCCAGATATTGAGAGCCTGGAGATCACGAGTAGAGTATAATAATGAAAGGCTTACTAAGAAGTTTCCCATTCATTTCATTCTGTAGGTTAGAAGTCTGCTACGATCTCACCAAGCTAAGACCGAGGTGTCAGGGGCTCTAGGAGAGAATCACGTGCTCTCTTGGCAGAATTCCACCCCGTGTGATTATAGAGCCAATGTCCCCTTTT